CTCCTCTGAAAGCTGGTTTGGAAGTACAAACGTTTTGGACACTGGCTCTTCCTGGTCCTTGGAGTCCTCCCTCCCACTTTGGCCAGAGTAGACCCAGGGCTTCAGCTGGAACCCTCCCGCATTTAAAATCTGCTCAACTTTAGAGGTAATCTGTTGCAGCCGATTCAAGTCATTGTGAGAGGTAAGTATGTCGTCAACGTAGGAGTCTTCTTCCAGTACTCTGCGCTCCTCTTGAAACTGAGAAAATACTGAAAGGTTTGCAGTCTCTCGCATTGCGACTTGAGAAATACAACCAGCTGGCTTGTCTCCAATATTGACTCTTGTAATGGCATACTCCTGGATATCTTCCGCCTCAGAGTCTCTCCAGAGGAAGCGATGAAGGTGAACTTCTCGGTCTTCAAGCCAGACTGAATTGTACATCTTTTTGATGTCACCGAGAGCAGCAAAAACACCTTGCCGGAACCTGATGAGGACAGCTCTTATGTTATTCAGGACATCTGGGCCTTTGAGAAGGAGGTCATTTAAGCTTTGTCCTTTAAACTTTTGACTGCTATTCCAGACGAGGCGAACGGGGGTGGTGACTGAGTGGGGATTTGGAGCGACAAGATGGCTGATGTACCATACAGGTCCAGTCCAGCTTTTTAGCTCTTCTGGTGACAGCTTGATGGCAGCTTTTCGTTTGACCATATCATGCACTTGAGAGCTATAAGCCACTTTCCATTCTGGTTCCTTAGCCAACTGCCGCTCTGTCCTCAAGAATGTTGCCTCCACAGCCCTCCTGTTGTCCGGAAGCGAGGCAGGATCTTCGGTCCATGGATACTTGGCGTGCCAATGAGGTTGCTCGCTGTGGTGGTCTCCAGTCACATACGTTAGCCCACTTTTCACCCTCTCCAGCTCCCTTTCCTCTGAGAGAGTCATTTCCTTTCCTCCGGGTTGACACTTCCCACAACGGCAGCCTCCACACCTGGGCTCGCAGGCGGCGCCGATGCTGTCCCACCTCCACCACTCTATGAAATCACGGTTTGCACTTGAGGTGGTGGCTAGGATAGCTTTAAGTGGTTTGCAAAGTTCTTTGTGGGTCAGCTCTTGGTACCGTGTTGCAGCTGTTCGCATGGAGCGGGCGAAATGCGTTCTCGAAGCATGAGCCACGACGCTCACTTCCTCCACAAGATCCGGATGAGAGCCTGCAACAGTTTTCCCCAAAGGGCCGTCCCACAGCACAAGATTCCCCACTGAGCGCACCTTTTGAGGCACGAGCTGGCCTTCCTTGTGGCTAATGAGCAACTTTATCTCAGCTGGCCTCAATAGCTCACGTAGGGAAACGTCTGGGAAGATTTTTTGCAGCTTCTTGGGTGACACATGGTGGTGGATTTCAGCAATACGATCCAGCCCATAGCACACTAGCTGGTGGGATCTCAAGGTGCCTTTTGGGGTGCCGACTCGGATCTTCAAGAGATACCGTTTTGTCTCCACAGTCACCTGCATGCCACCAACTCCATGAACCACAAGTGTCACATCTTCACTCCTTAAGTTCAGCTCATCTGCAGCCTCATGTGTGATGTAGTTTGTGTCCGATGCTAGGTCTATTAATGTTCCGACACTTTGCCCAGCATTTGTTGTGACCTCCAAAATCATCATGATGACTGGAAACTCTTGGAGGCCACTGTCTAGCATCCGCCCACCCGTCACAGAGCTAAGCGTTTTGGCTGCTGCATTGCAGAAAGCATTTCGGCATTGCTGCGCTAGCTCAGGGGTCAACTTTGTCAAGAAATCCTCTTGGTCCTCTGTGCATTTTTTCCCACTGCGTGCCATAGGGCTTGACTTGGGTCTCTTGGACAGGCTTTTGTTTGGTGGGTTAGGACACAAGAGATAGTGGTGCTCCACTCCCCCTCGCCCCTTACAACTTTCCAACCTGCAGAGAAAAGTTGTCTTGCATTCTCCATCATCATGGTTTGACAGGCAGTTAGGACAGGCACCAATCTTTCGGACAGTTTCCCTCTTTTCTGCCAGACTGAGGGCCTTGAACTTCCGGCACCGATACAACCTGTGCCCATGCCCATTCTCTCCACAGACAGTACACATTCCCTGGGGAGTGCCTGACAGAGTCGCCTTTGTTCTGGCATGCTTTGGGGGAGTCCACGTCTCTTTCCCATCATCTCTTAATTGCTCCAGCTCTTCGTAGATCCCTTCCTGGCCTTTCAAGAAAGAGAGAAGCATGTCAAAGCGATCTTTCTGGGGTTCAAGACTCCGCTTTTCCGCAGCAAACATGAGCCACTCTTTTTTCAGGACTTCAGGCAGTTTACTTTCCAGTGATTTTGTCATCAGTGGGTTTTTCAGGGCACCTGTGTCCCCCAGTTCTTTCAGGTCGTTTAGAGCCTTTTCGACCACTTGTATAAGGTCCACAATCTTCCTTGGCTGATGACCTTTAACTGGGGGAAGGGCCTGAAGCTCTTCGACTATCTCCAGAGCTATTGCTGTCCTGTTCCCGAACCGGTTCTCTAATGTGCGGAAAATCTCCTCAGCTGTTCCGCACGTTGACAGACGAAGATCTCTCGCCACTTTTTCTTCAAGACTGTCCAGTAACTGGAACTTCCTGACTTCTTTGGAGCCAGTAGGCTCCCCTTGGGCTTGGAGAGCTAACCAGTCTTTCCTCCAGCCATGGAAACTCCTCTTACTCCCATCAAACCTTGGAAGGGCAGTAGGTCTCAGCCTTATAGCTGGCACTTGCGGGTGTGGGGTTGTTGTTTGAACTGTTTCCTGTTCAAGCTTCCCTTGTATCAGAGCCGCTTTTCCTGACCTTAGTTTAGCTGACCAGACCTCAACCTCCTTTAATCGCTGCTGGAAGCTTTTCTTCTCTCGAGCTGGAGCCCACTGACTCCACCGATAATGAACTTCCTTTGCCGTTTTGACCCGCATGTCTAGTTGGCTTAACATAAAATCGTATGTTTCCAACCTAGTCTCGGGCGTGGCCATGGATAGATTTTCACATTCCCGCTCAGCTAACTCCAGACCAGTGGATAGCTCCGGGTCGCCGAACTGATCCCAGATTGCTTTCCGGAGAACATCTTGCGCCTCTACTAGCCTTTCCTCACACTCTTTTGTCGTAGCTCTAATGTCCTCGCTTTGCTCAACTCTCAAAATGGAGTCTCCTTTTTCCCCAGATCTCCTCAAGCGCAGCTTCGAGATTGTCATTAGCGTAGATCACTTTATCAGCTTCTACTGCAATCTTTCCAAAAGCCTCCTTCAAGTCATCTGCTGACATATTTGCACTGGCTCTGGTCATTGTATTGGCAAGCCGTGTGAACTGCCTTTTCGCATTCGTCCTGCTTGTTTTCAATAACTGAAGTGCTTTGGAGTCGGCCATTTTGGAGCGAGATTTGGAGAGCTGTGGAGCTTTGAGAGCTGTGGAGCTTTGAGAGCTGTGGAGCTTTGAGAGCTGTGGAGCTTTGAGAGCTGTGGAGCTTTGAGAGCTGTGGAGCTTTGAGAGCTGTTGAGCTTTGAGAGCTGTTGAGCTTTGAGAGCTGTTGAGCTTTGAGAGCTGTTGAGCTTTGAGAGCTGTTGAGCTTTGAGAGCTGTTGAGCTTTGAGAGCTGTTGAGCTTTGAGAGCTGTTGAGCTTTGAGAGCTGTTGAGCTTTGAGAGCTGTTGAGCTTTAAGAGCTGTTGAGCTTTGAGAGCTTGCGTAGCTTTGAGAGCTTGTGGAGCTTCTTCTGCTACTTGCTTCTTCAGCACCAGCCGGTTTTTTACTGTCGAGCGTTTTTCTTAATTTGGTGATTTCCCCCACGCTGAAAGGGGGTTGTACCCGCAACTTGAGGATATGCAGAGGAATTTACTCAGTCTATTTAAAACTTTCTTCTTTTATTGTGAAGTTTATTTTCTAACATCAGAGCATAAGCAGCAAGCAGCAGAAGCAGATGCAAAAGCCAATGCAGGTGCAGATGCAGAGCAAAGCAGCAGAACAGGTCAGGACAGCAAACAGGTAAAAAACCGGCTGCCTCCTCAGTCTTTAGATCGCGGGTACAACTACACTAGAGCGCACGTACACAACTTATATGCGCCCTTGTTTACAGAAAAGAACCCGGAAGCGCCGGTCCGTTCACTTAAATAGTCCGGGTTACTAACAGAGTTCCGGGCGCGCGTTCCGGGCACGCGCATAGACTGACTAACCCCGCAAATAGCGCTACAGCTACTATCCATGGGGTTCTGAATGATTGGAAATGCCAGAGCAATTTGCAATTTCAGGTGATTCTCCGAAAATTTGAAGGTGAGATATATCAAGCCTTTATTTGTTAGAATGTTGATAATTATGGTTCACAGCTTGTAAAAATGCCAACACAAAATAACCAAACATTTGAATATTTTGAAAATCAAGTGTTTATTTTAACAGCAACATTCTTAAAAATGGACTTACAGAAATAATTGAACAGTATTGTAATTCTAATTTCCTGAGTGTCACCTGTACATATGAGGAAAAATTGTATACAATAAAAAGCTGATTATTGTGTGCATAAAATCACATTGTATTAAAAATTCGCCTTTGTTGTCAATTGTGCATATTCGGCTGACATGGGAATTGACTAAATCAGGGGTCTCCAACCTTTTTCAACCAGAGAGCTACTTTTATAAAACAGAAGAAGCAGAGAGCTACTCCTTTTTGCAGTGGTAATTAAATTGTATGCAATAATAACATACGAAACATGGACAACACATGTAAAATATACCATAATACGTTATATTTATACTTTAAAAAGATACGTAATGACTCAAAATGTTTTAAATCAATTTTTTTTTGGAGAGGATGAAAGGGGTTGGAGGCCCCTGCTGTAGATCCTATTGAGCCTGTGTGCCTGTATCCACACTATCTCTCACTTGTCACAGCCTGTGCAGCTCAACTGTGGGTGAGTGCTACCATCTCCTGTCTGATCACCGGCCTCTCTGTGTTGCTCTGGTCCTGGATCAACAGTGGATCGACACTGGTCCTTCTCCGTGGCCTCATGGACCTCTTAATGGCTGATCTCTCTCTCATCTCCTGTCTGATCACCGGCCTCTCTGTGTTGCTCTGTGACACTCTCTGGTCCTAAGACACTGGATCGACACTGCTCCTTCTCTGTGGCCTCTGAATGCGTTATCTCCCTCTCATCTCCCGCCTGTTCACCATCTTTATCCGCATCTATATTAGCCTCTGCATCCTCCGCAAGAATATTCCCATTATCTAACCCTGCACCTCCCCCACACTCATCAGAAGCCTTTGTTTTCTCCTCTGGAAGTTTCTCCACTCCAACTCGAATCGTTTCATCTGCTTTGTTCTCTTGCGCAAATTTGACACTTTTCGGTTTTCCCGCATGGGCCTTGCTTCCATCCGGCCCCCATTTCTGCTGCGTTGTCTCCCAGTAGTTTTTGTTCTGACTTGAATGCTTGAGGCGTACGCTCTCGCCTAGCTTTTTCAACTCCTGGCGAACAATCGGCTTGAAGTTGGGGTCCAATTTCTCCACCGTGGCGAAGTCCTTCTTTGCTTTATCTTCATTGCACAAAGCAGCGTGCGCCCGTGCCCGCTGGTAGATTGCCTTGAAGTTACCTGCGGAGGAGAGGATAGTCAAATCATGAGGGTGAGGAAACAAGGATCACGAGGTCAGATGGAGTCAAATAGGTTCAAGTTGAGGAGGAGGAGACATAAATGAATGGAAAAAGGGGAACGTTAGAACAACGGGTTCGCGAGGGCTTTGACTATAAATAATTCAGGCGCGGCAGAGACAAAAAAACAGTGAATATATTTCTGACTGTGATGTCCACGGGTGGGTGCCAGGGGAACAAAGAAAGACTCAGCAATGCGATACACACTGTTTGGTTGATATTTTCCTGGCAAACAGAGGGATCAAGGATTGCTGCAGCGTGAAAGCAGGCATTTGCTAAGGGCTGCACAGCATCTCATCACTTCTCCAAACGGCAAATCTAAACACACGCCTACAGTTTATTACACCTGGTATATCTTTTTGAATCAGTCTGCCGTTTTTTGTTTGTGTTCGTACCTTTGTGCTTCTTGAGTAACTTGTTATTGAGCTCCACCACTTGCTGGTACTGCTTCAGCTCCAAATGGCACTGGCTGAGGTTGAGAACCAAGGGTAGTTGAACTTTCTCCAGGGAATCCCAGTCGTCTCCCCTGCGGTCTACCTGCTGCGCACACGACCAAAGGCTTTTCAAGGGGAAATGTCAGTAATAGAGGTTTGATCTGCGCGCCGAGGCCGTAGATCAGTGTAAATGACATAGGATGGATGAGCTGTGTTGAAGAGATTGAAGGCTGGCAGGGGGCGTTCTGATGAGGTTTATTGTGTGTGAAAGGTGTGACAGGGGAGACGGTGAGGGCTGGTGCGGGAGAGGAAGTTTAAGAATGAAATAGCGGAGGCACAGGCGAGCTGTCACAGTGATAACTCTTTGCATATGACGTTATTTTTAGCTCTTTCTCTGCTCTTGACTTTACCAGAATACCTACAATGCCGCAGCTGCCTCTGCTTTTTCGAAAAAGGACAGATAATAACGGTTTACGGGAAGCTGCAGAGGATTCTTTCTGGCAACGTGTTTGTTGCTGTGATAAATCCAGCTGGATGTTGCTGTCACAGAAATTATTGTAATATGCCAGATTTAAGTTTGCAGTCCTACATAAAACTATATTAGAATTGCCTCCATTGTTTTCTTTAATGTGGAAATCAGGCCGACAAAGACATTTATTTTTAACATCACATTTACATTATGCATGGAATATAAAAAGTGATCGAAAAAAACTGTTGTGGGAGCAGCTTTGCGTATTAGATATTCCCTTTGTAGACAAACAGTAATGCTAATTGTAACTGTAACTGATACAACAAATATATTTAGATTGGAGAGTGTCTTGCTTGAAGACAATGCAAACTTGCTGTTGAGTGGGTAAATAATGAAAGATTATTTATTCTTTTGCATTGGCTTGGCTATTAAAATGATAATGAGGGATTTACTTCATGCTTGGGAATATGTAATGATATCTACAGTAGAAAATACATGGTGAAACAAGTATGAAGGGTAAAAATGTAATCAAACTATGACTCCCTATAATGCTATCACCTGAGGCAAGAGGTGTCATTTTGTTTTTTGTTTTTATTTTGTTTGAAAATGATCAGCTACAAACATCACACAGAGCTGTGATTGTAAACCATGTCATTTCACCTGAGAAATTGCCAAAACAAACTTCTCCGAGTGTGATGTTATAATGGTACACTTGCCATGGCTGTCATTTTTTAGCTCCTAATTTATTTTTCTGTTGAGTTCCTGCCCCGCCCTGACGTGTTGCACCTCCCAATTAAGTTCCCTGTGCTCTTTCTTACACTCTATGGATCTTTCCCTCTTATTGTCAGTCCATTGAGTGTTTGTTCTGTGGGTCTTATCTTTGTCTTCAGTTCCTGTGTTTTTACAGTACAGTCAGTGAAGTTTTGTTTATTGAATTATATTTTTGCAGTATTTCATTTGTGGTCATGATTTACAGCACTGAAACAGGAGCTTTCGAGGCAGAAGAGGCGGAGTTACTGCACATATTTGGGCCAGAAGTTTCTGATCTTAGCTTGGATGGATTTAACTCCATCCATCCATCCATCCATCCATCCATTTTCTACCCTTTAATCCATTTCTGGGTCAGGGGGGTGGCAATCAGAGATGCCACCCAAGTCTCATAGCACCAGCCCCTCACTGACCCTCTGCAGGTGGTGAGTCCACAGGAGGACGGCTGCTCTCTGAGTGTGAGCATAGCCTTGATCTTTCAGTGGGGGCTTTGGGCAAAGTGGGGTTAAGTGTCTTGCCCAAGGACACAACGACAGCAGTCATCAGTGGGAGTCGGTGGAGAAGGTGCAGAGGAACCCACAACCTTCTGGCCTTAAGGCCAATGCTCTACCAACTGAGCTACTGTCGCCCCTGGATTTAACTCATTGACTGCCATTGACGTATTTGTCTGAGACTGGTGATTTCTGTCAAACTTCCATATTTGACTGGGGATTACAGGACAACAAAACTAGCTAGAAACAAACCTAATGTTGCCGATGGACGTAGACAATCCAGTCATTCTGAATTCTGTTTCATATTTCACACAGTCACATAGGACATAATATTCTGTGGGTCTTGAAAATCATCAAAAATGGCTGATAGTCAATGAGCTAACCCTTGTGCAACCCTCGGGTCAAGATTAGCCACCTTAGATGGTTAACATTCCCTAAATTAGGGTCTAAAAGGATCTAAATGACCCAAGGCTGGTCAAGTTAGGAAATATAATCAGAATTCAACTTGAAATTAAATTATTTAGGGTATTTTTGAAACACCTTGGAGGTTCAATTTGACCCTATTTAGCACAAGGGTAGGAAACAACAATTCTATTTGTACAAGACCCAGATTGTTTTTAGAAGTAGTAGGCTGTGGTTATCAAAAGGCAAAAACAGCAGAAGTGATCTCACCTCATTCTGCAGATGGTCCACGTAGTCTATTGCCTCCTGGAACTTCTCCGACGCCTCCTGGAACTTGCCCTGCGTGATCATGAAGTTCCCCTCCTTCTGCAGCAGCATCACCAGCCGAAGCATCTGCTGCCAGTCCTTGCCCTCGGCCGGCTTCATGTCAGACAGCCGCTGCTCTTCATCACCTGCTCCCTCTTCCTCAGGAGCTGTACCCACTTCTTCTTCTTCCTTCTCCTTGTTCTCCAGTTTATTCCAGTACTGTTCCTTCTCCTCCCAGTATTTCTCCTTCATGCATTCAGACAGGTCCTTGAGCTCCCGGTGCACCAGCGAGCTCAGGGTGACATCCAGGTGAGCCACCATGTTAAAGTCTCTCCTCGCCTGCTTTTCGTTCCACACCGCGGCGTGTGCTTTTGCCCTTTTGTAATAACCTTTCACACAATCTGGCAGAAGAGGGGGAGACAGAAGCCAGAGTTATGTCAAAACCTCTGCATATTATGACAAAGTGGAACAGCAAGACGTTTAGAAAGTGTCCTGTTATTTTCTCACCTCGCAAATGTTAAATTTGTAAACATGACACGTTAGATTTACAGCCTAATACCTCTCGTTTAGATGAATCCGATTAAGAGCTACTGGGGTGACTGCATTTCTCTGCTCCTTGGCATTTCATTTACCTACTGCTAAATCTTCATTCCAGCCCAAATTTCAGCAGATATCTTTGTGGCCCGGGGCAGCGGCACAGACGCTGCAGCAGACTTCAGCAAGAAGAGGATTTGTGTAAAGTGATCGGGAAAGAGAGTGTAAAAATGCAAAAAAAAAAAAAACGTCTGGAGCTATGTTATGCAAGTTTTTTATTTCAGGGACTAAATGATGAGGTCGACAACTCGCCTTTTCTCTGAATAATTAAAATGAAATTCAAATGTATATCGACCTGATCTGCTATGTATTTGTGGAACTGTTTATTTAACGGGGAGCCTGTACTTTCTCTGTACTTTAGCAACTGGATTTATGTCTCTCTTTTAAGTGAATGTCTTTGTGAATTGAGTAGAGAGAGAATAAGGCATCCACCAGTTAGACTTGGTGGTGCTGTACAATTCTAACTCCAGAGAGGTGTGTGGCGTTGCACGTTCTCCCTGTGTCTGTGTAGATTTCTTCCGGGTTTGGGTTTGCTTCTGCTGCTCCGGTGTCACCTACCACTCAACCCATGTACAAGAGGAATGTATTGATTGAGTGAATGGATGGTGACATCACGTGTTAAGTGCTTTGTGTGACCTTGATCTGGAATGAGCTATATAATTAGATTGTTCAGTTATGTAGAGCTCTTTAGTTATTTAGAGCAGGTTCCTGAGTGGGTGGGAATCATTTGAATCCTTGATCACAGACGAGGCCCTTGTCATTGGTCTAGCAATCTCTTCTTCAGCCAATCTTACTAGAGGAGGTTATGCCAAAAAACTTGCTTTACATGATTCTACAAGGTCAAAAACAGGCATTATTTTTTCGTACAATTGAAGTAACTCACTTTAATAATGCAGAACATTTTAAACACATATGTGCACTTTGCAAATACATACATGAAATTGGTTTATTGTCATGTCTATTGTCTGCTGTGACTGGAGGTCGGCCGCATGAAGCCCCTCTCTACACATTGGGCACACAGCACACTGGTACATCTGTTTCACCCTGAGGAAAGCCTGTTGGGCTGAAACGCCTTGGTGCATATTTTGAAACTGAAGGTCAGTTACTTTTCAATTTGTGAAGAAGGAGAGAGGTTTTTTTCAGTTTGACCCGCCCCCAAAAGTTCCTGATTGGACTTGATTCAAATCCGTGAGAAACAGCATCACTCATCTAACTATTCTCCTCCAGCAAATCTTACTGATGGTTATTCCAAAGGGGAGGGACTGTTTAAATATAGCTATGAAAAATACTTTTAACCCTTTGATGCACAACATGGGTCAAAAGTGACCCGACTGAGTTTTTATGTTCTTTATCTTTGCAATGGATTAATTTAATCTTTTAGTATTCCACGTATTCCTCAATGAACTTGTTTTTTATCTTTAAACATCCTCATTTTATTATTTGTTTTCTTACTTTTTGAATTAAAATGATTTTTGTATCACTACCCTTCTATTGCACAACATCGGTCAAAAATGACCCACATCCATTTTCAATGTAATTTCATGTATGGCTGAGTGTTGCTTTGCTACACCTTTGTAACATATAAATATTATCATTTATTACTTCATGTATACAGTAAATAACATGTTTTTATTCATCACAAATAATATTTTTTATGTTTCCTTTCTTACTCTATGAACAAGCTCAACATTTGTATTCCTACATCAACTTCACACACATGCATTCACTGTGGCATTCAGTAAGAAGCTTTGAATTTCAGCACGTTTGCTTAGGAATATTTTGACAGCGGACAAGCAAAGACAGTTCATCCTTATAGTGACTGTGTCACCATAGATGAACTGCTGGTGCCATACCAGGGCAGGTGCAAGTTGAAGCAGTACATATATGCCCAGCAAGCCAGTGAAGTACGGGATAAAAATCTTCTGGATGTGCGATGCAAGACTCCATTATGCAATAGATGGAATTGTCTACATAGGAAGACAGCCAGGAGAGGAGGGGCAGAAGAACCTTAGGAAGAACATTGTTCTAAAATTGTGAAGCGGAATCAGACAGACAGGTGATTATAGAATACGAATATTAAAGCTTTACATAAATTATAGCACACTGCTTTCCACACCCTCTCATTAGGTCGCAACATCACAATGGACAACTTCTTCACCAGTGTCCCTCTGACTGAGAAGCTCCTCGAGAGGAACCTAACTATTGTGGGCCTTCGCCAGAACAAGCCAGACATACCACCTATCATAAAGCCATCCAAGTCAAGGGTGATTCATAGCCAAGAATTCAGATTCAATGGCAACATTGGACCATGGTGAGCTATGTGCAGAAGAAGGCAAAGGCTGTTATCCTCCTGAGCACAATGCATGATAATAGAGCAATGGATGAAGACAGCCAGAAGAAGAAATGGAGTGGACACAGAACATGGAGGTGGCCTATGGTGCTCTGGTACATTATGCTGGATATTGCCACCCTCAATGCTTACATCAACTTCACTGCAGAACACACTAGTTACATGGGTGAGGTCACCAATGCATGCCGGCTATTCATCTAGGAGCTGGGCAAAGAGCATGTCACATGGAGGACACACCCACACTCCAAAAGCATATCATAGAGGCAATGGGAAGATGTGAGATCAAAAAACAAAACACAGCCACCACCTAGCCACAAGAGGACATGAGACAGGAGTGCCCAGCGAAAGAGGAAGAGGTGTGCAATCTACCCATCTGCCAAAGACAGAAAGCCAGCAGCTGGTGTTCCCAGTGCAAGAGGCCTGTGTGCTATGAGCACAATTGTGTAGTGGTCACTTTTTCTATATTTGAGGAATCTTGAGAACTGAACTGACAAGTTATGCGCTACCGGTTTGATCAGTTATATTTTTTTATTATTTTGGTCAATGCACCAGTTTATTTTTTGATATTTTTTGTCGGATGGAATTGTATGTGTTCCAAAATAACAAATAAACATGTTTCAAAGGTGAAATGTATGGTTGTTTGGCCCAAATCCCATCTAAAATAGATATTTGAAGAAAAATAGTATTATATGCCTTCATTTTTGTTTTAAATCGCAATTGAATAAATGGGTCATATTTGACCCATGTGTGTTATCTTGATATAGTAATACAAAAATGAATTTTGTTCAAAAAGTAAGGCAGCAAAAATATGAATAATGATGTTTGATAATCAAAGACAAGATATTTAAAGAATACTTGGATTATTGAATTATAAAATACATTGATTTAAAAAGAAACAGCAAAGAAACGCTCAGCCTGCATGAGATAACCTGGGAAATGAATGTGGGTCATTTTAGACCCATGTTGTGCATTAATAGGGGTTTGCGTATGTTGTGCATAGATTATACTACTTATTGTCATTCGTCTTATGGCCAAAATGTGTGTTCTTTTCAAAATAAATGCAATAGAAATTACAGACAGCATGAGCAATATTACAACTGGAATGTATATATTTTCTATAAAACAGTGCCTTGGATTTTTTCTGAACATTATGCAGGGGAGTTCGGAAATACAGCCCTAGAAAATGTGCAACAATGATAACAGTAAAGGCAGGCGCATATTGCATGTCCTCCCACCCCCTGCCGTCTCATACAAGTCGTACAAATCCACAATCCTTTGCAAGTTGTGGGCAAACGGTTGACTGCAGCGGCCGAGGAGCATCATTCATGAGGCTCTTGTGTGAAGTCCACACGTTGCAGTGTGTCAGCTCCTCCAGGAATATGCGAGGAGCTGTGGCTATGGCAGTACGAGTCCCCAGTGGGCTCCAAAGAACCTCAGGTGATGTCCGTGAGTCCTCCCACACACATATTATCATTATAGTGCGATTGCAGCATAGAAGCCTCTGCAGAGCTCCGGTGTCCGCCGTGTGTTAGTGGCTCACTTATTGTTAGCGAGCAGAAGTATGCATGAGGATTCAAGTCATTTGCTCCAGTTCAACTTTCAAATGCATTGTTTCCTTAGAGCGCATTAGCAACATAAAAGAATTTAAAAGTCCATAAAACAAAAAAACGTTTAAAATGACATTGACAATATGAACTCAAAACTGCCAGCCAATTTAACAAGTGAGTCTTTATTAAATGAGCTCACATTTGGAGCACTTTTGATGTCATTATGGGCAGAGCGTTCCAATTACAAGGAGCAAAATGGGAGAAAGCTGCTTCTCACACCTTCAGCCACACATGGGAAACCCCAAGCAGGTCGAGGTCTGAGGAACTGAGGCTGTGTACCTGTTCAAAAAGCACAAGTAGATCCAAAATACTAATAACACTAATACTTCATGTGAGGATGCCTAACCTGGGAGCTAGTGGATATCCCTAGAATGTATAATATGAGATCTCTGCATTTAGGTTTCAGCACAAGACAGTACAGTATGGTCATGGTCTAACCCATCATATGTTTTTTCCCACTGAAGAGCCTTGTATGCAGCATTGTACTTTACATTAGAATAAATCAACAGGGTATTGGATTAAGACGTAGCTTGTTGGAACACAGGACTTCCTTCCACGTTCCACCGCCTCTTAAACAGCGCTACATTCATCTAGAAACTATAGGAATCCTGGGAATGACTGTCATGGTTCTAATGGCGAGTGCAAACCCATAACTGCAGCTCCCACAGCAGTAGTTTGTCCGCAATAGGACCTGTTATGGAAATCATCTCACATTTGCACTGAATTTATTTTTGTCTAAACTAGTAAGCCATTTAAACACATGCCATAAATCAGATTTTTCTCCCTCATCGCTGCATGGTTAGTTGGTGTACCTATAGTACGGCTGATGGTTCTACTCTATGCTTTTAAC